TCTTTGTGTGGAATGGAGCGAGTAATTATTTAAGTTGTGAAATATAAAATAACCTTTTAAAAAATTCGATGTTAGTGTGAGTACAAAAAGAGACCAGTCACATGATAAATCAAACGGAGAATCCAATGCGCCACGTTGGATCATATTCTTTCATGTTCTTCGTCTTGGTTGCTTTAGAATCTCAATGGATATAATAACAATCTCATTAAACTATATGTAACTTTTTTTTTATTTTTAAATTAGGGGTAATCACTGACTAATTTTTCTAGGATAAGTGTAGTCGTCAAGTAGTTAATTCACCATATTAATCTAATGGATTTAAAGCGTGACACCATTTCGACTAGTCAAATAAAAAAAATTAGATAATTTCGCATTTGAAAGAAATTAAACTATAACCTATAGCCACATAACAACTCTTTTTTAAATGGAAATTACTAATCTACCAACCCTTGGTTATTATATGTAACTTTCATAATCGTCCTAAAATTATACTTTATTCCAGTTTTGTATAGTCATAATGCATGTTGTATCAAATGTGAATATATACATTCCATTCTAACTAACTCAATCTATTTATAAAAAGAGAAAGAAATTATATATATAATATATAACGAAGTAGGAACCGAATAAATACACAATAATGCATGAAACAAAGGTGTTTACCAACCGCAGCGGCAAAGTTTCGGCAAATTATTTCCATAATCTAAAAGGAAAACTGAAACGGCTAATTATATGGTTCGAGAAAGGATTGATAATTTGGTGATAAGATAATGTAATCACCTAAAAACACCATGATTCCTCTCGAACATGCCCATATTTTGTTCACATGCACGATAACGACTTTCATATATACGACCCACAACTCACCAATATCCATTTATAATTATTGTTTTTTATTACAAAAGCGACATGATTTTTATAAAGATAACGCGGAAACGGAAACATAAAATATTGGTTCTTACACTTTGAAAATGCATAGAAACGTAACATAGGAACCTAGTAGGCTAGTAAATACTAAATGCGTCACGATTCACGAATCTATAATTAATGGTTTAATCTCCAATGTCTAAAAGATGTCACTAATTAAGCAAACAAACGAAATAAAGATAACTAGATTTTCACCCGCACTTTGTGCGGGAACATTCGTTTTTATGTTGTAAACTATAATTTCGAATTGTGTCATATATAATATGTTCAAAGTGTGATATGTATTGTTTTAGTTTGTAAGTAGAATCGATTATTTTGAAAAAGTATTATTGTTTTTTTTAGTTTGAAAGTAGAGAATAAGTATGTTAAGTACTGAATTTTATAATGAATAATCATTGTAGTTAGTATACATAAATTATAAAATATTTAGTTTTGAGCATGTACGTATATCAATAATTTAGTTTTGTGCATATACGTATGTCTGTTGTATTTACTTATGGAATAAGAATGAATTATAATATGGCCAACGTACTGAATCTCTATGTAATAGAACAAATCTAAAATAACTAAAAAAAACCAAAACATAAATTGTAGGTGTAACCNCGAAGATTTGATCGAAAAAGCAAAACAATAGTACTTGAGACTCTCCATCGCCGAANATTGATCAAACTCTTTAATCAGATTCAAAAACTAATCTGTTAAAAAAAGAAATCAAAATATTATAAAAATGAACTACTTGTTGTAAGAGACGAAATTGAAAGAAGTTTAATAGATGAATATCCATACATTCATCACACAACAGCTGCG